TTTTATACCCCCCCCCCCCCCCATGTATTTGGTGTATTTTGAGAATTTGTATGTGTGTGTTAAGTGTTGTATATGTGAAGCACCACGAAAGTCTGAATTAATTACCCAGAGGGGATTAATAGAGCTTTAAACTAAACTATACTATATAAATACAATAAGATTGTGTGTTTTAGAGGGACACAGCCACTTTAGATCCTTTCCACCTTCTCTCCTGTCCCATACCCGTCTTTTTCCTCTTCCTCCTGCTTGTAATAGGATGTCAGGGATCATGTTCTCCCTTCTTACTGGGGAAGACAAAGACTGTGTAGCTAGAAATGACTCAGTACTTTTACTGGAATCCAACATGGGAGCAGGCCTTTGGGTACAGCCTGGCTCGCTGCATTAAGCCCAGAGCCTGCCGTCTCGCTGGCTGTCGGATTGGAGCGATACGCAGGTCCATATCTCACCCCCTTATCTGGCTCTGAGCTCTCTGGCCTGGGCCAAGAGGTCTATCCTTCCCTGCCCGCGACTCCTGGCGACCGTATGATAGAGGACGTGAGTTTAGAGCATGTCATTCTGGATAGATTGCTGTACTGTGTGCGTTTGTCTGCAGAAGTATAAAAGCCTGGTTGGGAGCAGGGCTGTTTAGTCTCTGCCGTTGATCCTGCTCATGCTGTTCTTTGAAATGGCTGATAAATGCGGATCTTCAGTCACACTCTAATTACAGCAGCTTAAGTGCTTTAACCACTGTTCTCGCAAACTGTTCTATTCTCTGAACCCTGTCAAAATACACACATACACACACGTGGACGTGCATACCAGAGCATTTGTTTGTGCGTTTACGCATCACATTTGTGTGTGCACGACTGTTCGTTTGCACAGGCCGCGGGTACGAGAATGCCCGTGCGTTCTTGTGGGTGAGGGACTTATCTCCACATGTGTGCGAGCAGAAGTAGGATGTGATGGCACTTGATGTCAGTCACACTCTAATTACAGCAGCTTAAGTGCTTTAACCACTGTTCTCGCAAACTGTTCTATTCTCTGAACCCTGTCAAAATACACACATACACACACGTGGACGTGCACACCAGAGCATTTGTTTGTGCGTTTACGCATCACATTTGTGTGTGCACGACTGTTCGTTTGCACAGGCCGCGGGTACGAGAATGCCCGTGCGTTCTTGTGGGTGAGGGACTTATCTCCACATGTGTGCGAGCAGAAGTAGGATGTGATGGCACTTGATGATCTGCCGAACACATTTTTCACAGCGCATAATTTAAAAGTTTCCTCCTGTTTGTATCTCCCGCCGCTTCTGTCGACTCCCCTCCCTCTCTCGCTCCTTCCATCAGTGGGTTGTACCTCAGTGACAGCCCCCCGCGCCCTCGGACTGCCTGCAGTCTGCCTATTAGCGGCGGTGCCGGCATCCGATTCGGCCATAACGCTTCATTTGTGATATGGATTTAATGTGTGACACAGAGAGGAGGTGTCGATAGACTAATGCCTCATCCTTTCATCTTATTCTCTTCCTGTCTTGGTCTCTGGAGTGTAATTGGTTTCTGTCCCGGGTAGCATCGCTAGCTCCGAGTGCAAAGCGAGGCGAAGGCAGACAGTGCGCAGTGGTTGGCGATGCCTGGGAGAGTTAGGTGTGTGTGTGGTTTGGGTGAATCAGGAGAGGTGTGTTTCCAGAGTGGAGGTGATTCTTAACGGGGTGTGGAGTGTGTGTTTATCAGCTCCCTGATCGCTGTTTATTGCCCAGTCGTGTGGAACTAATTTACTAATTGAGTTTGAGGCTGGGAAAGATGTGGTAGGAGGGTTTGCGAAGGAGACGCAAAAATATGTCGTACCCCCACGTGTGTGTTTGTGTGTGGAATGATTAAGTATGCTCACATGTCAAAATTGTGTAAATATGGGCGTGATGGAGTAATTTCCTGTCCTTTTGTAAACCTAAAAGATGTGATGTAACTAAATCACAGGCATTAGGGATATTTGATGTTTTTGATGTTTAATATGTAGCTAGGTGAAGGATTTATGACCAATGAGATTTCACTGTGGGCAGAGCTAAACTGTAGTCTGTTACTTCACCTTTCGGTTTCTGTTTGATGACAGATAAACTGGGTTAGTTCACCTGAAATTGAAAATTCTGTCATCATTTCCTTGCCTTCATGTCATTCCAAACCTGTATGACTTACTTTCTTCTGTGGAACGCAAACACAAAAAAAGTATATTTTAAAAATGTCTCAGTGCTTTTTGTCCATACAGTGAAAGTCAGTGGGGTCCAGTGTTGTTTTGGACCCTGTTGACTTCCATTATACAGACAAAATATTCTTCAAAATACCTTGTTTTGTGTTCCACAAAAGAATAAAAGTCTTACAGGCTTTGAAATGACATGATGGTGAGTAAATGAAGACATAATTTTCCTTTTTTGATTAACTGTCCCTTTAACATGATTGGTATGAAACCAAACTACCTGCATGATGTGCCCAACACTGCCATTTTCAGTTAAGGGGGCACAACAGGTGAAATGTGTTGGCTCGCTCGCTGTCTCTTTCTTTCCTCCTTTTCTTCCCCTGACTTTCCCTCCATCTCTCTCATCCTCTTGCCCTTGTTGGTGGGAGATTTGACCTGGAATGTTAATAGGGGAGTGAGGCTGGAGTCCTCTGCAGATCTCTGGCTCTCTTCACTCTCTGGATAAGACAGGAAGAGAACATCCAAGAGGAAAGAGTGTAACTTAAACTCAACCTTACATCTCTCTCTCCCTCACTCACTCTACCTCTTGTCAGTTTCAGTGTAGTGTGTATAAATGGCATGACAAAAATGGTACAGTTGTGCTTTCTTTAAAAATAGAGAAAAGGAGTAGTGCAAACGAGTAGTGCAAAACGAGTAAACAGGTGATTCATTTGAATTCAAAATTAATAAATTAAAATACATTTTAGAATAGGATAAAATAAAACGAAATTGAATTGAATTTAGTCTACATCGTTTTATTTGTGTTCAATTAATTTAAAATAATTTGGTGCAGATTAAATTAAAATTTAATTTATATTGTCACTAATATAAGAAAATAGCTTTTAGAAAAATTGCATTTTTTAAACTAGACTAATTAAAATGAATAAAGAAAAAACAATATGGCAATAATCATAATATTTATGAACATAAATTTAGCAAGTTTATGTGGAAAATATTTATAATGAGGGCTTCTAATGCATCTTTCTGTACTAGATAGATGTGCAAGAGAGGAAGTTCTTGTTTTTCATCTCCTCTGGTGTGGTTGGATCACCCTGCATTGACTGACAGCGTGTATCTAGAGTGAAGGCGAGGGAGTAAGAGAAAAGAGAAGATAAGTGAAGAAGGCTCAGTTGTGTAAGGGTTACAGAGAATGGGGGAGCAATGCATGGGTTTTTTTGACAGGCAGACATTTCTGGGCTAGCTTACAGCAGCTGTGGAGCCCCGCTGGTAGATTAAAAGAGGCTCCCGTCCACAGAGTGAAGTACAGCAGAACCCCCAGCGGGTGCAGGCAGGGAGGGGCCCACGCAGCTGTCACCCTCCACATACTTTCTCACCCAACTCCAGGAGCTACGACCCAGCAGCCCCACCGTTCACCCACACACCCCACCATCACAGCGGCACGGACATTAATGGAGAGGAGCTGCAGGCTAGAGAGATGGTCTACCAGCAAATGTTTACTGAGGTTGTGTGTCTAAGTCATCAAAGATTGGAAGAGTTTGAGATGGTAACTCTCATGCTGCAAAACGCTCACAAGATTCATCCTAACCACCACCTAAGGGTTAGTTCACATACAGTACCAAATCCTATATAATATGAGCAAATTTATATCATGGTAATGCTATGCTGGCAATTTTTTTTGAAAGAAATTGATACTTTTATTCAGTTAGGATGCATTAAACTGATCAGAAGTGACAGTAAAGAAAATGTTTCTATTTAAACTGAACTTTTAAACTTTTCTTTTTATCAAAGAATCTTGAAAACAAAACAAAAAAAGTATTACGATTTCCACAAAAATATTAAGCAGCACCATTTTCAACACTGAGAAATATTTCCTGTGCACCAAATCAGCATATTAAAATGATTTCTGAAGGTTAATTTGCCACGGAAAATTCTGAATAAATTACATTTGAAAATATATTAATATAGAAAATGATTATTTTTTTTACTTGTAAAACTTTACTATATTATTGTTTTTACTGTATTTATGATCAAATAAATGCAGTCTTGATGAACATAAGACTAAAATTTTTAAACTGAAATTTATTTAAAATAAATGAAATTTAATTATAATAATTTCCTGTAAAAATTTTATATTGTTGTATTTACATGCAATAATGATTATTGTTTCAAACAATTAAGTAATATAATCATTTAATTTGATTATTTCCCTTTTTAACTAAAAATGAATTGAATTCAGATCACAAACCAAAAGATACGATCATTCATAACAAATACTGTATATATATATATATATATATATATATATACAGTAAACACTATCACAACAACATGCAGTCCTACCCTGTGTAATCAGCATAAGTGTTACCATCTAGACATTTTCGAATAGAATATGATCAGAGAAGTCTTCCAGAAGTTTTTTTTTTCACTTGTGAGATGCTTTTAAGCAGATTTACTGTATTGTTTCTGAGATGGGCCCAGATCCGTCTTTAAGGTCACAGAGCACATTACAACAGCAGGAGTGCCGTCAGTGTTTGCTTCATGATAGCAGTAGTTCAATATTTTGAATTCAAATGCTACACTGTTAACATAAGCTGATAAGCAGGCTTTTCCCCCTCTGTCGAGTGGAAGGGAGTCTGCACAGCTGCAGCCAGGTCTGAAGTGAAGACACACACTCTCAGTCTGTCTGTCACACACACACACACATATTTATATATATATATATATATATATATATATATATAGTGAGGATTACAGAAGGGAAAAAGAACGATTTGACACTCCTCTCAATGTTCTGACATATTTAGTTGGTTTGCGGGAATTTCGGATTCTCACAAACACACACACGCACAGTCGCAGGAGGCCTCGGGTTTGCTGAGAAGGCTGAAGTCAGTGGGTCTCTGTGGTAAAGCCGACTGGGGAGCCTTTGTCACGCAGACGCCCTCACCAACAAGCACTGAACAATGACAGTTGTTCAGAAAACACAACAAAATACACACACTCCCTCACACAAACATGTCCTCGCTCCCCTTAGTCCAGTCCACACTGCATTTCAACACCGACAGCTCAGCCCACCCTAGGGATATGGGTTCCTTTGTTTTAGATTTGTGGGTGTTTTTTATGTCAGCTGGTGTTGTCGTGTTTATGTAACTCTTTCTCATCTCTCATCAATATAAAAGTCACTGGTATGTGTGCATTTGTGCATTTTTGTTCGATTTTGAAGGTGTAAAATGGGACTTGCGGTGGGTCCTGGGTGAGATGGGGTCAGGAGTGTCAGGAATAGGAATGGCTGAGCCGGGGTTGATAGACCGACGCCGTGGCCCCGCCCTTGCCCAAAGGCTCCTGGTGCACTGCCTGCTGGGAAGGCAAGACCAA